ATTCTTTGTGCTGGCTGAAGTCACAGGATATGGTTGGTGTATGTGTTGGCTATGGCGAAGTGACAGCATTGGGTTGGTGCGGTGTTGCCCTGGATTGGTTAGCAAAGCTATGAATCTGACTATGATGACACGAGGGTAAGAAGTCACGAATCTGACTTTGCCAGTGATGGTTATGCTGAGATGATGGTGGTGGGTTGCTAAGGTGTTGTCTCAGTGTGGTTAGTGAAACTACGAATCTGACTATGATGATACAAAGGTGCAAGCATGATTAGTCGGGAGAAGTCACAAATCTGACTTTGCCAATGCTGGTTATGCCGAGGTGACAGCAGTGTTATCCCAGAGTGGTTAGTGAAGCCACAAATCTGAAGCTATAAATCTGACTATGATGGTGCTAGCACAAGTAGTCAGGAGAAGTCACAAATCTGACTTTGCCAATGCAAAGGGTGCAAGCATGACAAGTCACAAGTTTGACTTTGCTGATGCATAGGGTGTGAATGTAAAGAGTCGGGAGAAGTTACAAATCTGACTTTGCCAATAAAGAAGGTGCAAGCATGACAAATCATGAGTTTGACTTTGCTGATGTATAGGATGTGAGTGTGAAGAGTCGGGAGAAGTCACAATCTGACTTTGTCAATGCTGGTGATGCCAAGGTGATGTGGTGGATTGTCATGGTTTTGTCATGCTGAAGCCAGACAGTCAAGTTGTGAGAGTAGAAGTCATGGTGATGGCAACAGCAGCAGCAGTGCCAGCCAGTGGTCCACTGGGCTGCAACTGTAGTTATCATGGTGACAAAGTCACAGTGGGGGCAGCAGCAGCATTCTGCATGACAGCCCGTGACCTGCTAACCTTCCACTGACTTGGTCATTCTCAGAGATCTGCTTATAAGCAGGTTTGTTAGTCCTCAGGATCATCTCTTTTTCCAGTGGGAACATTCGCAATTGACCACTGCCAGAGCCTGCTTTGTAGACTGGATGTGATGCATCAAGCCTATGCACAGAGAAAAATTCATATCCTAATTCATTAAGTGTGGTTAGGAATGCAAAAAATTTAACTTAAATTCCCTCACAGAGGAACAGTTTAAATGTTTGATTTTTATCGCAGGATTAAAATCTACTCATGTTGATGTTCATTCCTGACTTTGTTTAAAACTGGAACAGGACAAAGACATTACATTAAAAGCCTTCACTACTGAATGTAATAATTTATTAAGTATAAAAAAAGATACTACGCTGATTCACAAAAAAACACTGATTTGTCAATAACTAGCAACATCCACTTGAGAAAACAACCCCGTGATGATAGAAACCTCCTTCAAAATGTTGGCATTGTGGTGACTGGCATTATGCATGCTTTTGTCTGTTTAAAAAGCATAAGTGCAATATTTGTCACAGAAAGAAGGATTTTGTAATCCAAATTCAACCGGAAAAAAAAATTTAAAAAACAAAACAGGAAAATGTCTGGCAAAAACACAATGTTTGCAACAATCAAAGTGGATTATGAATCCCACAAAAATATATTGTTGTTTCTATAGACAACAAACCAGTTTGTTTCCAATTTGATACAGCATTGGACATAACATTAATATAGCATTTGACTTGAGGACAAATTGAAAAGCCATATGTATCTGAAACAGATCACATAGCAATGAACACATCTGGAAGTACAATTTGTTTAACTGGTGAGTTACTTGAGAATATTTTCTGGTATGTGTTATGTCACATATAATTCAAAATTAAATTTAATTAGTCTTGATCTGGATAGAACAACTTAACCTTTTTGAAATTCCTCTCAAATGTGTGTTCAATACATTTAACCTCATGTCAGTTCCTGATATTGAAAATCATTTCACAGATCTACTTAAAAATAAGCTTAGTGATGTTTTTCAAGATGGACTTGGGTGCTGTACAAAAATGAAAGTACTCTGAAATTAAAACTGGATTCTAAGCTAGTTTTTAGACAAAAAAGGCCAGTATCCTATGCTGCTCTGAATATGGTTGAAAAAGAACTGAAACATCTTTAGCAAAAAAGTGTAATAGAACTTGCAAATTACTTTGTGTGGGCAACTCCTATTGTAGTTGTTAAAAAAGCAAATGGAAAAGTCCAGATATGTGCTGGTTACTTGACCAGTTTGAATGATTCTTTGGATGTACATCAGTATCCACTTCCAGTACCAGAGGATCTTTTCATAAAACTAAATGGCAGAACTTGGTCTACAAAGGTTGATCTTTCCAATGTTTTTCTTCAACTCGAAGTTGATGAGGAGTTCAAAGAGCTCCTCACTATTAATACCCATAAGGGATTATTCCGATTTAACCATCTTCAGTATCAAACCAACACCAGCCATTTTCCAAAGAGAATAGACACCATGCTGACTGGATTGACAGGAGTTACAGCATTCATCGATGACATCATCATTGCAGAAACAAACAAAGATGAACTTTCACAACATTTATTTTCTGTTTTCAGTCAAATTCAACAATACAGATTCTGTGTGAATTTTTCTGAGACCAAATCAAATATCTTGGGTTTATTTTTTAACAAAAATGGTAGATGACCAGATCTGGAAAATATCCCAGCAATAAAAATCATGCCAGTACCAACAGATGTAACAAAATTATGTTCTTTCTTTGGTTTGGTTCGCCACTACAGTGCTTTCTTTCCCAAACTTTGAGTTCTTGCACCCCTCAACAATCTTTTAAAAAAAGATGTTGCATAGGAATGGTCTGATGCATGTCAGGTAGCCTTCAAAAACGTAAAGTCCTTACTTTCTTCCAATCTCTTGCTGACACACTACAACCCATCCATGGATATTGTGGTGTTCCAATTATGACATTTCAATTATGTTTTTGGAGCTGTCATTTCTCAAATTTTCCCTGATGGTAGCCAAAAGGCAATAGCTCATGCATCCAGATCACTGACACAGGCATAGCCAAATTGAAAAAGAAGCATTAGCAATAGTCTTTGCTATTAAAAAGTTCCACAAAGTGCTGTATGGACATCATTTCACTCTGATCACAGATCACAAGCTTCTTGTTAGTGTTTTTGGATCCAAAAAAGGCATCCCAGTGTATACAGCAAACTGTCTGCAAAGATGGGTTACTAATATTTTTCTATAAAATATAATTCAACAAATACAATTGGTCATGCTGATGCATTATCTAGGCCCATGACTACACAAAATAAAATACCAGAAGACTCAGTCATCACAGCGCTATCTCTAGAGCCAGAAGTCACTTCAGTGCTTGCATCCAGCCACTTCTACAATGATCCATAAAGCCACAGATACTGATCCAGTGTTAAAAATATGCACTGATAAAAAAATTCAGCCATTCTTTTAATGTTGATCTACATTGTTAAAAGTCAACGGCTGTCTTCTTTTTGCAGAATACATGATTGTCCCATCTTTATTACATGAAAGAGTGATAAAGCAATTGTATGAAATCCCTTGCGTGTAGCTATGTTGATTGGCCAAACATGAACAAGCAGTTGGAGGAATTGGTACACACATGTTTCAGTCACCAACTGATAGAAAAATCTCCCAGTAAAACTATACTCAGTTCCTGACCTATTCCTGAATCACTCTGGTCACATTTTCACATTGACTTCACATTGCTGGACCCATCAAGGGGCAGTATTATTTTATCCTCATTAATACTTACAGCAAATGGCCAGAAATTTTTCAGATGAATCACATCACCTCAGATGAAACAATTCTTAAGTTAAAACAAATCTTCCGTTGGTTACTCCAAATCAACTGAAGATTTGTTTTAACTTAAGAATTGTTTCATCTGAGGTGATAATCACTAGTTTTACAGATACTAGCATTGGATAATGGCACTGCATTCACTTCAACTGAATTTCAACTTCAGTGCACAGAATGGTATTCAACACATTAGGACACAAGAATATTAGAAATATTCCTCAAAAGTTACAAAGCTACACCCAATTCAAACACACTTAAATTTGGAAATTCACCAGCAGAAGCACTGATGAATCGTAATGTTTGTTTACACATAGATGTCATCTATCCAATTAGAAACCATTCCCTAAAAAGGAACACAGTGATGGAAGAACAATTTAACTGTCATCATGGAGCAGTGAAACACAAATGTGTATCAGGGCAACCTGTACTTGCGAAAGATTACTGCAATGGTAAAGAAAAATGGATCCGAGGATACATTACATGTATGTTTAGAAATGTTACGTATGATGTGAATATACAGTCTTCAGTCTGGGTTTTACATTCAAGCCAGTTATGATCATCAAACCTTCCAGAGACCAAATTAAACTTCACTTTATTGCTGGACATTCTATTGGACACATTTGAACTGCCTCAACAAAGTTCCTTAGTAATGCCCAAAGGGCAAAGATAGGACTTCAGCAAAATTACCCCAAGGAAATCCCGTCAACTATGAAGCCATACCCACTGCAATTAAATCCCCAACAAAAGTCATACGAGCACAAGGCTAAAAAGGGGAGGTGTTAGGGGATGTTACTTATTTCCCCCATATAAAGGACAATAACTCAAAATACAAAGGACAATAACTCAAAATACAATGTCCCTTGTCCACGAGGTGGAATACGGCACTTCTGAAGCCAACATGGTGATAACTTGACATGCACATGGAACTCATGGCTTAAATCCTAACAATCCTTGCTGTTCTCAGGCAATAAATAAGTAGAATAACATATATTTTAATATATGTTAAAATACACTTGTCTTTTATTTTCGTTTGTTTTTGTTCATCCAAACAAACTGGGATATAACAGTCTCCCACCAGATATCATTATTTTTTTCTCGCATATTTTATATATTAAATTTTTTCTCATAATTTATTAAAGCCATATCCATCTTTCTTTCCTAAACATTTTTTGTTCTTTTTCCAAGTTCACATTTCACCTCTAACACTCACAAACACACATATGTAACACATATGTAACACATACACACACACATATATATATATATATATATATGCATATACATCTCTTTTTTCTAGATCAAGGAACTTGTGCTGGAAGATGTGGATGACAGAAGCAATCAGAACAACAATAATGGAAGTATTAATCATACAAATAATGAGCACCAAACAAATAAGATGAAGCCAGTAAATCCAGATTTATTGGATGAGAATCAGCATTATCATGAAACCATTCAAGGTAAATAAAAACATACAAATCAAAGCCATTATTACAAATTTATAAATTTGTCTTTTAAATTATTATGATTAGCGAAGAGGCATCAATGATAAGAGTTACATTAGATGCAACATGTATGATTTTTTTTGTTTATTCATGTATAGATAATTTTATCTAAGTGTTTTCAGAAAAATATTGCTTTTTAACAAATAATTTAAATAAGCTAAAGTTGAAACATCATAATAAAAATAGTTATTAGTTTACTTGAAATGTGATATTGTGTGAATGTTCGGTTATGGTTTTGTTCTTTAAAACTAAAATGTGGTCTTTGATTTGTTTCAAGTATATTATGTACACAAGGAAAATAAACAAAGTCTTAATTTGTGGCAAAGAAAGAAGTGTATCACAAGATAGTAGTAAATATTGAAACCTTGGTAGTTATATATATATATATATATATATATATATATATATATTTTATGGAAATTTGGAAAAGGTGGAAAAGGTTTTCATGAGATGTGTTTTGACACTTTTTTCACTTTGTCATAGATTTCCCTAAAATTGTTATTGATATATAAAAATTCATATAGTGTTTTCCCATATATATATATATATATATATAGAGAGAGAGAGAGACATAAAAAGAATATCACCCCATACAAAGACACAAGAGGATACAGTGTGTGGAAGAATTAGGAACAGAAACATTAATAATGAGCAGGAATAAAAAGAGTAATCAGGAGGACAGTAGATAATGATTAACATTGCAAAAATTTTTGCAGATTAAAGTTGAGTTAACCATTCAATGAGTTATTCCCTTTTATTCCTGATTCAAATGAGCCAAATTTATTTTCCATATCCCTAGCAAGATCATATTCTGCAACAAGCAAGTCCTGAGTTTTTATGAAATTAAGGACTGCAAGCCAGTGAAGATATATTTTCCATAGGAAAAACAGTGCTATAGGCTTGTAAGCTGCACCCTATGGGAGCTGGTTGCCCAAGACAGAAGTCTGGGTGAGGCAATTGCTCGATTTTACTCCTGGAAACTGACTGACCAACCACTTTCATCACACTATGAAATGATTCACTAAGCAGCTGTCGTGTAATCCATATCACTTCATCCCCCACAAAAGGGAGATAATCATCTTTTGCAGCCCTACATATATAATCTGTCAAATATTAGTGAATATTTTAGAGTTTGATTTTGTGAAAGTGAAATTTTCAATTTAATATATATATTAAGAGGCAACCATTTATCTTGCGCAATAAAAGTAGCACCTGTTTGATCAAAGTTCAGTCATTTGGTGGTGAGACTTGAGTGAACTCTCCAGAGTGCAAGCCTGGGCAATGATATATAGAGGCTGTGCACTGTCCAGACTACATGACCCTGTCCACCCTCAGCTATATCAACAAGGTATTACATTTGGTGCCAGCTTGGTTGCAGGAGTTGCGAGAAAGTTGTCAGTGTTGACTGCCAACTGCCTTCAAAGCTCCACTCCAGGTTTTCTGTCTGTTTTCTGTCTATGGAAGTAAACTTCCATAGTCTTTAGTGTGTTTAGATATGACTGCAAGGCAGAAGAAGTTTAAAATCAGTGTTTTCCTTCCCCTAGACAGACTGTCCAGTTCCATCTACCTAAATCAGCTGGTTATAAGGCACCAGTTGTTTGTCTTTGCCCATTCTCCAGCTAGGAGCTGAGCTTAATTTTCAGAATCTATTTGAGACATATGCCACTGAAGTATTTTATAGACAGTGGGAGCTTGTCCCCATGATCATCCACCAGCTATAACAAACTTTGGCTCATATAATGTATGTTTATAAACATTATATACATCTATGTTTTAATGTATTTTCTGTTTCTGTTTCTGTTTTAATGTATTTTCTGTTTATGTTATTTTATGTATTTATGTTATTTATGTTATGTTATGTGTATTTTATGTTTATGTTATTTTTATAGATTATTATTTTAGTAAATACTCTGTTTATAATAAAGAGTATTAACTACATCTACTGGCCTGAATGTTTGAGAAATTTCATAGAAAATATTACTGTTTTTAAACAACAAATTTCCTATGCTTTTTCTCAAATGCTCATATCTGCTCAAAACGTATCTTAACAAATGAAATCATATAGTATGAAATGAACTAATCATGGGAAATTTGTTCTTTAAAAACAGTAATTTGATTTTGCTAACTAGACGCTTCCACTGTAGCTTAATGGTATAGCATATCAGGGAATATAATGGTTTCATGTAGGATACAGGTTTGATTTTTGTTGGAAGACATATTTTCTATGAAATTCAAGTTGCTAAATGTAGTTAATACTGTTTATTATAAACAGAGCATTTTTTTAAATATATAAAATGTTTTGTAATCAAAAACATTAAAAGGAAGACAAATTATGAAATAGTTGTACATAAATAAACGCACAAAAGTTTAATTTTTGGAAAATATAGCAGAAAGAAAAATGAAAATATAAATTGGAGTTTAAAATAAAATTCTCAGAGATTATGAATCAGTATTTATAATATACAATAATTTATACTAACTTTTTGAAAGTAGTAATATATATATATATATATATATATACACACACACACTAGAATAGCTATATTTTCTTGAATGCTCAGGCTGACAGACATAATACACACTGTTTAATAAATAAAAATTTGGCATCTATTTCAAATACTGAGTATTCACTATAATAACACCCACACACAGAGTAGTTCTTAGCCTTTACAGTAATCAGTTTCACTCTCACAACATTATTAACAATAGGAAAAAAAAAGATTTCTCAAAAGCAGTTGAGAATGTAATATTGGATTTTTATTAAATGAAGTATTGTCAGCTATTATTAATTTTTTGTCTTTATTCTTTATGTGCCATGTCTCCTCAGGACATATGCGATCATGGCTCTCCACAGCTTCCTGTCCCTTGTAGCTCTTAATAAATTTTGTCTTTCTGTTATTTCTCCTGTTCTGCAATCCAATTATTCAAGCTCACTAAGTATTTTATGCATTGTCTCTCTTGCCTTCAATCTGTCCTGTAAGTATCAGATTTTCCAACCCCACTTTCCTTATTATGTGCTCTAGAAACCTCAACTGTCTCTTCCAGATGTTTAGTGTAAGTTCCTTTTTTGTTTCCATTTTCTCTAAAACTTTGTCATTGTTCACATGTTTGGATCATGGTATACTCAGCATCCTTCTGTAGAACAACATTTTTAAAAATTTTACTTGCATGGTCCTGCAGCCATCTGTAAAGAGGAAGATTGGAAATAAGTTTTCACTGAAACTCAGATTCACATTACTATTTTCTCAAAAAGCCTATTTATCTTATGCTAGCTGCTCTAATCGTTTTAGCCATTATTTCTGTGTTTACTAATCATAATCTAAGTGGAAGACAACTAAAATTTGAAAGATAAAAGTAATAATAGTCAAAAATTAATAAGTTCAAATAGATATTCAAGAACTTACCACTAATAATAATGCCAGTGTATATAAAAACAAAGCAAAAACATCAAATACATTACCAAGCAACTGGAGAAAAATAAGGATTTTTGTTCTTACTAAATTTTCACTCAATACAAAGCCCTACTCAAGGTAGATTGTTACTGAATGAAATTGTTGCATAGACCTTAGAGTAGGAAGTAAGTGAAAATTATGAAGATATGTAGGAAAGTTAGCAGTTGATGGTTGACATTAAAAGGTGAGTGGGTAGTCTGTTCCAGAAAGTAGCAGTTATTGGCAAGAAGCTGTTTGAATTACGAATGGATTATGAAGGGAATGTGGATAAATCAACCCTGCACATATAGCTTGGTAAGTCTTAGCTGTAAAGGTCTGAACTGGTGGAACTAAGGAATTTAGCTTGTCAGATCATTTTTTATGGAAATAGAGGAGCAAGAGATTAGCTACATTTTGCCTGTGGGTAATATGGGTGATGGGTTGAAAATAATTGCCCAAGGCTGTATAATCACTTTTGAACTCTGCCAAGGCTTGAAGATGAGAATTAGTCTGCTCCAACCCAATTATAGCAACAATACAGCATTTTTGGTCTGACATGATTTTTGTAAAGTGTATGACACAAAGTGTCAGCTACTTTCTGAAGCAATAAAACAAATCAACCATTTCTTCAGCATCTTTAGCAATGAATCATATGGCTGAGTTCCACTTGAGATCTGGAGTGAAAATGAATCCAAATAGATGTTCAAAGCAAGGAGCCTCATTGTGAATACAACTGTTTATTGTAACTGGAGAAACTTCAGAGTCTGCTCTGCAAAGATCAAATGTTACTAGCTTGGTTTTGGAGTTATTGAATGTTAAATTAATTTTCCCCATTGACCTGTTAGAGCTAGATCAAAGAAGAGATCAGCTGCCAAGTCCTGATCATCTAACTTTTGGGAAGTGCACCCATAAACTGTGATATCTGCATAGATATTTAATAATGATCTGAGAATGTTTCTGACCAGATCATTAACATAAGGTAGAATGAAGGTATGAGCAAGAAGGGAGCTTTGGGAGATGCCTGCATTTATCTCATGGGCCATTAGCAACAGCCTTGTGCTTGACTTAGATTTAGATCAAGATGAATTATAGTAGGCCATGAAAACCAGTTCATATTTGATCAAATAAAAAATGATGCTGCTACTTAATTGGATTTATCTCATTCTTCTGAGTCATTTAGGTGAAATTGACAAATTCTAAAAACATGGAAATTGAGTTCTGCTTTCACTGATGGTCAATAAACTGAAATCACTATTTGGACACATGCATGGTTTTAATTTCTCTGAAGTCTATAGATGTATGGCAGGACACTTTCATCCCAGATGATACTTTATATTTTTGTATATTAACAAGTTTGTCTAGTCCTTTGATAGAATAGCCTCATAAAAAGGTTATGATTTATTTGTTGGTAGGAAATATAAATCCCTCAGAATATAACTGCCAAAGTGCAATTGCACAAAATATTCTTGTTTCAAAACTAAAAACTATTGCAGTTAGTTTAGAGAGTTTTATTGCAACTTTCAC